TTTAATAATTTATCAAAATTATTTTTTAAATAAATATGTATAGATAATTAAGCATTTCAAAATTTTAAATTTCAAATTTTTTTAATTTATTTTTTAATAAATATATATAAAATAATGAGACATTTGAAAATTTTTATATCTTATTTTTTAGATTTATTTTTTAAATATTTGATTCTGTTTTTACTATAATTTAAAATATTTTATTTAGGAGAGAGATAAAAAAAGAAAAAAGTATCTTTTTTATAATATTCTTTTTTCTTTATATTTATTTGATTGAATACATATTTTTAAAAATAAATTTTCAAATAGAATATACATAATTAAGCCTTGCAAAATTTTTAAGTTTTTACTTTTTAAAATGAATATGTGTGTGGGACGACAAACAATTGAAATTTTAATTTAAAAATATATATAATATTTTATTTATATATCTATATATATTGCAACATATTTATTATGTGATATTGCAGAATTGTACACATACAGTTATAATGAAATTTAGATAAATGACGATATAAATTGAATTGAAGTGAATGTATACACATGCTACTGTTTTATTAATTAGTGGTTATACTCATACTAATCTCATATGAAATTTTATTTTAATATTATAAAATTATAAAAATCTAAATAATATAAGATAAATGATAATCAATATTTAATATTAAAAAATAAAAATGAGTATGAATAACAAATAAAAGTGAGCAATGACATAAAAATTGAATGAGTACGAATAAAGAATATAGTCAACGTGCAACGCACGTCATAAAAAGACTAGATATTTTTAAAAATCTCATTATCTGATGTACGGTTTAAATCTAAGACGATACAAAAATATATACTTAAATTTTATTACTATATATATAGAAGTACACTCATAAGTTAAAAGTATGAGTGGAAAGTACTCAAGTCCTTTAAGTAAAAAATCAAATGTTCGACTTTTGTGAATAAAAAAAATTTTAGCTGGAAGCACTTTCGCCTTATGGGTGTGACACGGATGAACAAGATTAGACTTAATCCAATGAACTAGAAACACTATGGTATATATCAGAAAAAAAAAAAAAAAAGTTGAACTACGAAACACTAATGGTATATTCAGAAAAAAAAAAAAAAAAAAAAGTAGATAAATATATATGGACAAATAAGAAAACCAAATGTCATTTACTTATTACGAATGGCCACCAATTCTGTTCGAATAGGAATTAAACTGGAATAAAAATATACTGCAGATGAACCGAAATCAGATTGACACCAGTGGTCAAGCGTTAATTAAGGTTCATGTGAATATTAAAATCTGAACCTGAACTAACAATTTTGGCTTCATTCAAACCAAAAATTTTCTATTTTTATTTTTAAAATTATATAATTTAGCCTATTCTATATATCTCTAAAAGTCCAAATAATCGTTTAATGCATGATACATTTTACTTAATTTTTTTTTTAAAAAAACACACTTTACTTAAAAGGTTAAAAATCTAAAAAAATAAAATAGCAAAAAAAAAGTAAAACATTTAGTCCAAAAAAAATATACTCCCTACGTCTCATTTTATTTACATGGTTTGACAAAACACGCATATTAAGAATTTAGTCAACAAAAGTTATTTTGCCATTTTTTACTCTTAACTTATTAAGATGTTAATAAAAGTTTTTCATTTAATGAAGGATCACAAAGGTTATCATGGGAAACCTAATTGTTTACATATACAAATTTAGAAACCTTGCAAATATTTTGGAACATCCAAAAAAGGAATAACAAGCAAACAAAATGGAACGGACGAATTATTGATATAAATGTGGGTTTAACGTTTTTTCCTTTTAAATTTTTTACTTATTTTTACTTATTTTAAAAAATTAACATTGTTTGAAGCAATTTTTTCGGTAATTTTTTCCCTAACAATTTAATTAATAACATGTACGACAATAGAAATGACTAATATATTTATTATTTTGTAAAAATCAATTAACAAAAAAGGAATAACAAGCAAACAAAATGGAACGGACGAATTATTGATATAAATGTGGGTTTAACGTTTTTTCCTTTTAAATTTTTTACTTATTTTAAAATTACATTGTTTGAAGCATTTTTCGTATTTTTCTAACAATTTAATTAATAACATGTAGACAAAATAAAATGATAATATATTTATTATTTTGTAAAATCAATTAATTTTATTTCGTATATAAGTATGAGCATTCTAAAAGTTATTTAAAATAACATTTACCAATATTTTTTAAAATTCACATTAATTTTTTTTAAAGAACCTTAGAATCATTTTTTTTTTTTGAAAAGAAAAATAATACACATAACGTAGGTAACCATGATTGGAATGGTCGGTTCATTGGAGCTCCACTGAAACCCACTAGAATCAAAACCGATAGTTCAATGGTCGGTTCAGGTTCAATATTTAAAAATTTTAAACCGCTGATTCCGTGAACTGGAATCGACGGTTCAATGAATCAGTCATGCCTATTACTTTTTGATTTATCACAACTGGGAATGTCAATTTTACCTACCTTACTGGTATCCAATCCGATTCCATCCAATTTTGATGGGTTTAAAATGAATTCTGATAATATTTTTACTATCCGTATTAGGTTTAGGTTCAGAGCTCTAGTATCCGCTACCTATTATCATTTAATTAATATCCCAAAAAAATTTTAATTGATTATTTTTTCAAAGAAAATCATATATGTATACCTTTTTTATTATAATTAATGCTATAACTATATTGAATATTTATATTATATTTTTTAAAATAATAATTTATAATTTTTATTTACTTTTTATTTTTGAAAGATAAAAATAAAATATATTTTTAATGCTAAATTGGTATATAAACGGATAATTATAATCGGATTTATGATGGATTCAAGTAACCAAGTTGAATTTCTAAATGGGTTCAATTACTCAATTAATTGGGTTTGGATTCGAATAGTGCATTTTAACCGACTCATTGCCCTCCTTAATCACAACAAACTTAAAATTTTTTTTCTTCATTCTTCATTAGTCGTAATTAGCCATCTTTCTCTCAAAAATCTTAAAATTCATAGAATTTAAGAAGATAATTAACAAATCCAAGAATAGATATTTAATAATTATTTTCGGTGACCAGTTGCAAGAGAGACTGCAGAACAAAAAATCTATATATAACCTGAAAAAAATATTTGAGATAAGAATAATCTGCAATCATATGCATGTCAGGATTAATTAAAGTATGTGAAAACTAGTTATTGGAATTATCCTCCAAGGTTTCAACCATATCGGTCATAAATCATATACATACGACCCTTTTAGTACGAGTATACCTAAGAGCAGGGTGGAGCTAGGAATTATTTTAGGGGAGCTAAATGATTTTTTTTTTTTAATTTTTAAGGAGGCCAAATATATTGTCTTATATATTTTTTAAGGATTGAAATGTAATTTTTTATAAAGAATAATTCAATCTGTCATCTTATCATTTATTTTTCTTTTAACAATGCACATCACATCTGTGCACAACGAGTTACCAATCTTCACTATGGATCCAACTGCAGCATGCTTTTCCATGCCTATCATCTCACCCACGGTCATACATTTTATTTTAGAGCACCGCTGAATGACACAACATATGGCATGCTCAACAATAATCTTTAATTGTGCCGTTTACCTAATTGCCCTTTATAATTACAATGAATATAGTTTTATTTGCAATCGATATTTCTATTGGAATAGGGTTAATTATAAATTTAGTGCTTGAATTTTCAATAATTTTCTATTTTAGTGTCTCAGTGAAAAATATTTACAATCAAATGTCTGAATCGATTAATTTTTTAATTTTGGTATCGGCCGTCTATGGGGATCGCCAAAATTATAAATAGGACACGTGGAACCCACTAATAGTTAAAAATGAAACTGATTAGGACTCCAAAAATCATGACATGTCAAATTTGACATGTCAAGCAATAATATGTAAACGTCAAAGGACAAAATTGCCCTTAACAAAAACACTACTCTCCACCCAACTATCTCCATCGATCACCTTCAATGCCCTTTGTATCAGGGTTTCAAAATAAGGAAAATTGAAATAGGAGATTAGAGTAGAATTATTTCTTTCTTGGAGATGGAAAACGGAGTTTACAGATACGGGAAGTAGTGCATCATTCACACTTCTTGGACAGATTGGAACCCAGGTAGAAAGTTTATGTGCTGTGAGTTGAGAAATATAAGTTTTTCTCTAGATTTACTGGGTTTGGGTTGAAGTTGATTCATTGGCACCATGTTTACTACATTTGGTTTGAAATTAAAAATTTGCAGGTGAGGTAGAGTATTGTTTGTGATTTCTTTGAATAGTTTGATCCCGCCATATGCAATAGATCAAAGTAGATTATTCCTGGTTTACTTAGAAAAATAAACTCTTTGGAAGATCAATTGAGGAGGCAACAGAGAAGGGAGAAATGGCTGTGGTGTTGCTTTTGTTATTTTTGTTGTTGTAATCTTCTTGAAGTGAGAGTAACAATAGTAGTTATAAGAATTGTAACTATGCTTATGTTATGTTTAATGAAGTGCCTCGATGAATTTGAACTGGAACTGGAGGCTGCATAATCTTTGAATAGGGCTTCCTTTTTATTTTTGGGCAACATTTGCTAAGCTTAAGCTTTGTAGCAATGCTTTATGTAATTCCTTAATTCTCCTACATTAATATGAAGATTGCTTAATTCCATCATCTATTTGCCATTAGTTGTATGTTTTGTCCATATGAATAAAGATTAATTACAAATTTTTCTATCAAGCTTAAGCTTAAGAAGTTGTCCATATTTTATCCATAAGCTTAAGATTAAACATGTGTAAACAACTTGTTGTTTTGTCCAAACTCATTCTTATAAAGCTATTAAAAATGTGAAAACAGCTTGTTGTTTTGTCCAACACAATTTTCTAACAGCATTGATCAAAATAGTAAGCATATACATCCAAAGATCATTCATTTTTATAGAATCCAAAAAGCCACAACTGTGGTAAAGTTACATAAATTGTTCAACTTTTGCAGCGAATAATTGCATCTTAAAGTTTGACAATGGCTATCATTCCTACAAAATAAGTTCAACAGCAAGCATAATCATTTCTTGCCTTGCTTAAAGAACAATGGGCTTAACTACAAAATATGGAGCACAAGAGTCAATAATACACAAAATCATATTTCTTCTTCTTTCTTTCCATCACTGCCTTGCTGTTGATTCTTGAGTGCCTACATAATCATTTGCTTGGTCATTGATAGCTTTATTCTTCTTTCTTGTAACAACTCCAACTTGTGCTGACATTGCAACTGCAACTGCCTCAATGTTCCTTTTTTGTGCCCGTCTCTACAATTTAACATAACAGTCAAACAAGTTAAACATTGATTTCATTCCACTATTAATAAAAATGAAAGAAGCAGTAATAATTTATCCATTTCACTTATATACTTGCAACTGGTTAGAAGTTATATAGTGGTACCCACGTTTGTGGAATTCCTCTATTTTCTCAGTCCTAAAACTAGGTTCAGGTGGGTTCCTCTCCCTGATCTTTCCACCCATATTTAAACGCATCTCAGCAGTTGTTCCAGGCTAAAAACATATTAAAAAATTCATACTATTGCAATCAAAATGAATCATAAAAACACACAACACACAGCCCTATACAATCTTTCTCATATTTATAATCACACACAATACAACCCATGCATAATCTTTCAAAAAATATAGAATTAACTAAATGACAGAAACAAGAAAGGCATGCAATCATTCTCACACTCATAGTCGCATTGCTTGCAGGGTCAGCATAAGCACCATAGCCATTCACTTTCTTAGGATTTTTTACCTTCCTAGACTTATAGTATATCTACTTATTGAAAATCAGTGTTGAGGTTTGTTGAATTCCTGTATTTTGTTCAACTTGAGGTCCAATATCTATTGAGTTATCTCGTTGTTGTTGCTGACTTCTGCCCCTTCTTATCTAATACACAGTAGGGATTCAATGCATGATTAAAAACAATGAATTTAATGAAGGAAAGAAGAAAAAAACAAAAAATAGAAAATGAAACTTTACCTCAGAATTGGATGGCCTCAAAGGATCGTCTGTTGCTACATTCACCGGTGTTTCTATGACATTGCTTGTCATCTTCGACTCAAGAGTCCCTCTATTGAAAGTTGGTACAGGAATGAATACCATACCATCATCTCCTCTAACTAGTGCACTATGACTATTCATTTGTATAAGCTTGCAAGTGTTCCTATTATGACCTTTTTCAAAACAAGCTTGACATGTCATTATCCTACCTTTTCTACTCAGTTATGTACTTCCACTGTTTGGTTCACCATCCTCTTTAATCCTATTCTTACGTGGTCTTCCTAGTTTTCTTTCATTTTTGGTTGGGAGAGGTGCTCCTTTTCATGATTTCTTTAAAAATTTCCTGTTATTCACAAGAGTAAGCATGTGTGTGTATGCCTCTAAATAGGTGAACTTCTTAAACCAACTAGAAATGTAATCATATGGATTCTTTCCAAGATCATTGATTGCACATATAGCATGAAAACAAGGAATACCAGACACCTCCCACATTCTACATGGACATGTATGACTCTTCAAATCTACAATATAAGTATCACCATTATGCAACACCTCACCTCCATTTGCCCCATTCTAAACCATTTGACGATACCTACTGATTTCAAGGTTTCTGTGGAATTTCGTTCTAATTCTATTTCCATAATCACCTATCCACTTAGATGTTTGATCTCTATTTGTGTGCAATCTAGCCATCACAAGTCTTCTAATATCCTCTAATATAGATATTATGAACTTAGTTCTAGGCTCAATTATCCGACTATTGAAAGCTTCACATAAATTATTGTCAACTATGTCACATTTTACATGAGTATTGAAGTATGCCCTACACTAGTGACTTAGGTGTGTTGAGGATATCATTGAAGCCTTGCTTAGACATCTTCTTAAGCTAAGCCATATTGGCTTCAAAATCAAGCATGTTGTATGGCTTCACACATGCCCAAAATTATTGATGGAGTTCACTGCCTCTGCATTTCTTCCTCTAATTAGCATAAAGGTGTCTTGCACAACACCTTTGCTCACACAGAGGTAGTTTCTCATAGATAGCATCAAGTAACCCCTACAAGAAAAGCATGACAGCAACACATTATAAGAATAACTTCTCCAAAAAACAAAGCATGACAGCAACACATAATAAGAATTTACTAAGCATTAACTTCTCCAAAAAACAAAGCATGACAACAACACATAATAAGAATTCACTAAGCATTAACTTCTCCAAAAAACAAAGCATGACATGAGAAATATAGAACTCAAGAAATGTGAGATGATTTTCCTTCTGTTGGTAAGATACAAATGTCCAACCCTCGCCATCAGTTGTATCCAAGTCCTTATACAAGTGGTCAATGAACCAATGCCAAGTAGACTTGCACTCCACATTCACAATAGCCCATGCTATTAGATACATTTGGTTATTGCCATCCCTACCCACTGTAGTTAACAGTTCTCCCTTAATTGCACCTTTCAGAAAACAACCATTAAGCCTTACCATGTTTCTACAACTAGTAAGAAACCTTTTCTTCAATGTGTCAAAGCAAATGTACATCCTGTAAACTATAGGAAGGCCATCAGGAATAGGTCTTTGCACTTGCAAGTTGTTGCTACTTCCTAGAGTTGACCTGTCCATTTCTCCCAAATAATCCCATAATTTCGCATGTTCTCCCTTTGAATCCCCATTTAACTTTTCCTAGCATCTTTGCTCTCCTCATTTTAGTAATAGTAACTTCCACACTTAAATCATTTTTCACTTGTTTCTTTAAGTCAATAAGTGTCATTGTTTCACAGGTTGCAATCTTAGGCAACACATGTTTTGCTATCCATTTAGCACTACACCTCCTATTTTTGAAAGAAATGGAAAAGTGTGCTCATTTCTAAAGGTCTTCAACATAATGTCATTTTTTGACTCTTCAATTGATGCATAAACCATCCAGGGATAGTCCTTCTTAACACACTTAGCCCTAAACTAAATTGAGGTATTCTTAACAAACTTCACCTCTCTTCTTTCTTGTATTGCCGATGTACTAACTGCTTCTTTATACTCTAATGCATTCTTAAATGTTATACCCAAGGTAAATGTAACCTTCTTAGCATTAAGGTTAAAGGCTTTGTACTTACTTTTTCTTCTCTTCCCACGCTCATGCTCACTGCCATCTCCATCACTGCTTTCTAGGATGACTTGTCCATCAGAATCAGCATAGTCATTCAGGTTGCCATCCTACTCATTAACTTCAACATATTTTACAGTTGCTCTACAATTTGAAGTTGATGCTTGAGCTATTGTATTTGACCCCTCTCTGTTTCCTTCTAACTTTTTCTTCTTATTATTTTGTTTATATTTTCTCACAGCTTCTCTTGCCTCCTGGAGCTCCTCATCACTGCCTGACATCCATTCACATTCCACCAAGTCATCATCATTATCTTGCACTGCAACATGAATAACTCCTTCCTCAACATTGTTATTTCCTTCCTCTACTGGTACATCAACACATTCAGCTACTTCTCCACTTTTCCCTACCTCATTTCCTGCTTCATCAACTCTCTCACCCCCACTATCTACCCTAATCCTAGTAGAGCCAATATCATTAAAAGCTTCACCAACTGCTTCAAATCCCTCACCCCTATTGTCTACCCTAATCCTACCAGACCCCTCCTTCCTCAACATTGTTATTTCCTTCCTCTACTGGTACATCAACACATTCAGCTACTTCTCCACTTTTCCCTACCTCATTTCCTGCTTCATCAACTCTCTCACCCCCACTATCTACCCTAATCCTAGTAGAGCCAATATCATTAAAAGCTTCACCAACTGCTTCAAATCCCTCACCCCTATTGTCTACCCTAATCCTACCAGACCCTACCTCATTAAATGTGTCACCACCTCCCTCAATTCCCTCTTATGGACTATCATTAACATCTGCCCCACCACCGCCCCTTATTAGTGTCTTCAACCCTAACAGTTAGGTCAAATAGTTCCCATTACAAAAAAAAAATGTCATTTAACAGTTGAAAATCGGTTGCTAATACTTCTTTTTTGTTGCTAAAACATAAATAGCGACTGAACTGCGACTAAGACAATCAGTCGCACAACTTCTTATCGCTAAATTCTTAGCTACCGATTATAGCTTTCGTCGTTAATTAGTGACCACCAGATCGATTGCTAATATTGCAAACACAGCTAATCAGTCGCTAAATGTTGTGGTAGCTATTCCGTCGCTAGGTCTGTCGCTAAATCTGTCGCAAATTGGCTGTTATATTTGTTTCCAATAACTTTTAAAAATATTGTCAGCGGTTGCTATTCGGTCGCTCATTGATCGCCGTTTTCACAACTTTATAGTCATCAGTAGCATAGTCATATCCTATTCTAAATTCACAGTGAAATTGTCTTTTTCCATAAGGAGGACAAAGAGGTAGCTTCTTACACTACCTAGTGAATGGGTTCCATATAGCAAGTGTCTCTTTTACGAGTAAGAGAAGTAAACCATTATAAGAACCATAGATTGTTGTGTGGATCCTTTTTTTAAATGGGTGATTGAGCTCTCTGGGTTCTTGGAGTTCCTTAGCAAAATTGATGGCATAAATATTCTCAGGCCAATCCCAGTCTGGGCTATCATTTCCTTTTCCTTCCTAGATAATTAGTTTATGATTCATTTTGATTTCCATGGATATATCGAGATGCCATTTGATAAAATTTGGGCTATCGATCAGGCTGAACATTATTTTCGAAACGCATTTGAAATGCAAGAGAGGCTTCACCGGTAGCTAGAGGAAAATATCAGTTGTAAGTCCTGTGGAAGTGTGGTCTTCGTTATTTATCTTTCCATTGCCACCAGAAGCGAGCTTTTGATTTAGGGTTAGGGTTAGACTCCCTGGTTTTTCAGCATCTATGAGTAGTATTTATATTGGCTCAAAAATGGATGTTGAACGACAAATTAATCTTCGGGATGAAACTACAAGTCGTTTCATTTAAGTTAAGTAATTACTTTTTACAAGAACATAAATAAAAAAACTGCTATGCTCGACCTGTCAATGCTCATTGTATTCCAAAACCAAAGCAACTGATAATTCGACGTCTACTTTCTAATCAAATCAATAGAGAGAGGAAGTTTTATTAAGAAGCTTGATTAGAACTCAAAACCAAGAAAGAAGGGGAACGAGAATGTTATTTTTCATAATCAAATATGACTACAATATTTGCTTTTGCATCTTGTCTAGCGTGTAACAAGCCTTTGGAAATCGTTCCATCTCTACTATCTTTTCTAGCTCAGAACACAATAAATTTCTTTCATATCTACTCTAGCTTTGCATTATCCTTTGTTTTCCCATCAATATTCATCACAGTGTTAAAGATATTTTCAAATACATTATTTTCCATATGCATGACATCAAGATTATATTGAATGAGCAATGTACTCCAGTACAGCAAATCCCAAAATTTACTTCATTTCTTCCATCCATTGCTCCAAGCAATTCTATTGTTTACCTCTTCATGTCCCAAATCAGTCAGTTTCATAAGGCCCAACTCTTCAATTTCCAGTAAAAGTTCTATACCTGACTTTATAGGTTCTATACCTGACTTTATAGGTGGAGGGGGGTCATAAACAATCTTATTCTTCCAAAAATACTATTGATTTCACCTCCATGCATGGTCAATTGGGAGAAAATTTTGGTTATTATCAAACCAACATTGCTTCCCACCATTTTTCAAAGTAAATGCATATGTATTCTCCATGCAATATGGACAAGCAGTTTTGCCGACAGTGCTCCACCCAGATAATATTGAAAGTGCAAGAAAGTCACTAATCGTCATAGCAAAGCAACTCAGAGCACAAAATTTTGAGAATTTGAAATGTCATAAGTTTTGACACCTGATTCCCACAATTGATTCAACTCCGCAATTAAAGGCTGTAAAAAAACATCGATCTTATACTTCGGGTTTGTTAGTCCCGGCTCAATAACACACAAGAACATATACTCTTCTTTTATACTCATGGATGGGGGTAAATTATGGTGTCACAATTATAGGCCATAAAGAATATTGTTGCCTTGACTGTCCAAACAGTTGAAAACAATCCATGCAAAGTCCTAATCTGATATTTCTAATCTCAGCAGCAAACGACGGATGTTGATCATCAAAGTATTTCCACGCTTCAAAATCTGATGGATGACGCATAACATCAGCTTATAACATCAGCTTTACGTTCATATTCTACATGCCATCACATCTGTTCAGCTGTAGTATAAGATGCATATAGCCTTTGAAGTCGTGGAGTCAATGAAAAGTAATATGTTTTCTTAAATGCTTTCTCTTTCTGTTGTCTCTCAGTTCCTTGACGTCGCCTTCTATAACTAGGAAGGTTGCAAAACTTGCACACCCTTGATTCACTGTCATTACCCCAAAATATCATATAGTTATTACGACAATAATCTATCTTCTCAATCGGCAGGCCTAAGCTGTGACATCCCGACCCGGCAAAGCGATCCTAAGAGGGCGGGTAGAGCAAAGCTCCTGGCTAGCTTCTAGGATGGCAGGCTAGCTAGAGGCTAGCTAGGGTAGTGGAATGCGAGACACAGGAAATGAATCGAATCATATATCGAAAAAAGGGGGAAA